AGTCATGTTTGATAATTTAACAATACGTCGCACCAATTTATTATCGCAACTGATCAAATTTTCATCTATAAGATCTGCTGCTCATGATGAGCCCAACTATAAAGCTAGATGTTGCAAAACAAAAAAGTTATGCAGTCTCACACACATAAAAGTTTAGTATGTTATGTTCATTTTTAGTTGTTTCGCATCTTTACGGAAGTGATAGACATATTTCCGGTTTGTGTACACCAACATACTTTGGATATTATTTGGCACATTATGTTGACTGGCGATAGTAGAAATTTCGAAAATATCGTTATTCGGTTAATGTGTCATCTTAAGGATAATATGTTGTATGACCAATGTCAAAATAAATCAAACAGGACACATAGATTCATATAAAAAGAGTGAAAAATTGAGCCAAATACACACAAAGTCTTTATGATTAATTTATTTTACATTTAACAATAATTTTGATCCGGATGAGAGTTGTCTACCTTGAAAAAAATCGGAACTTTTTGTAGAGGGATAGATTTTATACAATGACACTTATTTTCTTTACGACGGAAATATATTAAATTACTATATTTAATCGTCAATTTACTGTTCTTTTGTTGAACAAAATTACTCTCAATCATGTACACTTTGGACATCATTCCATAGTCCGCTTACGCATGGTAGATTAACATATCAGGTACATGTGTAACCNTGTAACCATAGGCTATCGCATGGTATGCCGTTATTACGTGCACGCACATGCACTTCCATTTTATAAGGATCTTGATATTTTACAAACCACTATTTTCATAGAATTATTGGAATTGCATTTGTGAACCGATTTAACTGACAGAGCGTAACTCGCTCGACAACAAAAGTCGTAGCGACCAAAGCTTGTGAACTACTGTTAGCACGTGATACGTACAGGTGAGGTCGGTAAACAAAACACATCAGTCTGCATTCCATGCGCCTCATATACGACCTTCTTGAAGTCGTCTGATCGTATGTCAGTGTTTTCCCGTGAGTTAATTAATGTCTTTGGATCATAAGCTTTATTTCTGAAGTACGTGTGATTACACATTTCAAAGTTAAGTCTCGATATCGGGTGTTGACATATCATCGTCACACACGTGTACTATTGTTTACCCGGTGTTACTATAATTTACACTACGGTAATGAAATGCCCGATACGCAATAGTACGGAAATGACGACACGAAAATACGACAAGAAAAACATGTGTATTACGAAGGGTGGGAAGTCCTTAACGCAGGGAAAATACCACGTGCACACAAATGATTTATTATACATGTATTGGGAAACACGATTATTTGTTTCTAAATCATGTTCCACGAGCGAAGCAGTTCATGTTGACGGAAATCCGCTGCTATTTTGTCGACGAGATGGTTGCAAAATAAGTTTTCAATTTCTGTTTGTGTTCAAAACAAACTAAGCCTTTATTATTCATACCAAACTGATGAATCTTATTCCGATTACACAGACATTGTTTGCTTTTTCCGACTTCTGCTGTCCTTTTAATTTCCAGTTCGCCTATTTGAAGAATAGGGGGCTTACTAGTCCGAATTATTCTGACGTTTTATCGACTTTTTTCATATCGGTCTGTCGTCGATTAACGTCAGAACTCCGGCCCTCTATAATATGCGGGAAATATGCGCCCCGCGCCCGGAGCGCACTTCAAACTGATATTTTAGAAACAAATCGTCACTTTCACACACATGTTGCACATGGATCGAACGATCTATTCTTTATGCACAAGATGAACATACATAACATGCCTCAAACAACTAATACAATCACTAAAAACATGTTTTTTCAAACTTACTCTGTTTTACTCTAGTTTTTTTATAGCCCCGCCTTCCAATGCCACGTGACTAAAATCTCGCCGGCCTACGTCATAACGTTGGGAAATACCTTCGGTAACGCGAGATCTCGTCAAGTCATGTGACATTACTCATGGCCTAATTTCCATAAAAAAAAATGGGTTGGTATAGAAAACGTTGGAAAATACTTTTCGTAATGATCTTTGAAACATGTTATTGATACCACCTAGTGCATAAAGAATAGATCTTTCGATCCATGTGCGACATGTGTGTGAAAGTGACGATTTTGTTTCTAAAATATCAGTTTGAAGTGCGCTCCGGGCGCGGGTCGCATTTTCCCCGCATATTTTAGAGGGCCGGAGTTCTGACGTTAATCGACGACAGACCGATATGAAAAAAGTCGATAAAACGTCAGAATAATTCGGACTAGGGGCTTATGTAGTCACCCCGGCGTCGGCGTCCCACTTACTGCGGTCTACTGAAGTTTTTGTGCAAGTTTTTGCCAGACAGTGTTGGATCATCACACTCAATACATTGTTGTCTATTATAAAGTTGAAGCATTTATATGGAGTTTAAGCAATGTGCTGAACCATATTTTCATAGTTTAGGGGCCATAACTGGTTAATTGGACTTGGTTAAAGTTTTTGGGCAAGCTTGCAGTTAAAGTTTTGGGTAAGTATTTTTGTGAAGTGTTGGACAACCACCATCAATAGGCTGTTGTCTTTTATAAAGTTGAAGTATTTATATGGAGTGTAAGCAATGTGCTGAACCATATTTTCACATTTTCGGGGACAAAACTAGTGATACAATGTTGTTTTATTGCCACCATTTGTTCAAAGAAATATTGACATTATAAAGGGGTTTGGCAATGAAAGAAATTCCTAATAAAAACATAATTAAGGGACCTGAAATATGTTGGCGGTAAGCGAGGTGGCAAATGATATGACGGGCAGTATATCAAGGTTGTACTGTACATGTTATTCTATTGATATTTTCAATCTTACAACATATATCACCAATAGGCGAGCTATGCTGTTCTCAAACAGCTCTTGTTCATTTTATATGTTTCATATTTATGAAATTTTATATTCCTATACCACTTCCCTATGTCGTGATCTTAACAGTCTGTGTCATTTTGGAATAATAAAATATACAAACACCTTTAAAAAAAAAAAGAAAAGATATTTCTATCATCGCAATATTCTGTATCCAATTTTCATCGTAATCCAAGGTGCTATGTGGTTGAAACAATGACGTCACATGCTATACAAACATAACAAGAAGTAATTCAACAACATTGTGGTATTTGAGTTTATTGTGTCTTTCGGGTTTGTCTTGATAATTACTTGATGGTACATTTGAAGGAAAGTCAATAATATTTACATGAATTTGAAATATTCACATCACACAAATTGTATGTGACATGGCATATCCCTTTAAATGTAATATAAACCACATGCATAACGTGTAAGGTAGCATATACCCTTAACTCTTACACAAACCACAGGTATAATATGTGAGGTAGCATACAACCTTAACACTAACAAAAATAACAAGTGAAAAATATAAGGTAGCATAAAGCCTTAACCCTAACCCAAATAACGAATAAAATATCTAAGATGGCATATATTTGTTAGGTTAAATGTGACGTTACCCTCAAATGTTGTGCGTTATTCCCGACTTTTCTCGTATCAAATGATGTAAATAGTTTAGAAGTAGGGAAATAAACTGTTTTCTTTGAGTGATATGAAGGTCTATGTTTTTATAATTCATTCATTCATTCATTCATGTATTCATTCATTCGGAAAATCACTTCACTAAGAGTTCCTAATAACAATAAGGTTTTGACTTTAAGCTTATTGGAAGATTATTATTAAATCTTTGAACAATAATTCTTTGTTCGGTTCGAATCTTGGAGCAATTAAGGCTTTGAAATATTTTCTAAACATTGTTTAGTACATGTATATACAACGTAGTTTCATAAGGGTAACCAGTTACGAAGATAACTGGTACTGGGTTCAGCCATCCATTCATTTGCTGTTGTCATTTATACTGTATGTTTTAATGACCTATATTTGAGTCTTGGTTCTCTAGTCATGAATATTTTCTGAAAATTGTTTGGTATGCTTGAATAAAAACAGTTTCATAAGGGTGACCAGTAGCTCAGACAACTGAGTTTAACCATCAATTCATTTGCCGTTGTCACAGAAACTGTATTTTTGAGTGACACATATTTGAGTCCTGGTTCTCTTGTTCATGAATAATTTCTAAACATTGTTGGAATGAAAAGGTTTAATGGGAATGACCAGTTATTCAGACAATGACCCTTATGTAATGAAAGGAGTATACATTTATTACTGAGTCAGTTCACCATTGATAAAAACTAATGTAGCAATGGACTAACATAGTATTTTAAGTATACGCAAAACAAAAGCAGTTTTAAAAAGCAAGTTTCGGTTTCTCGATTCACCCAAATATTTAAAAAAAAAATGTTTCTTTTCAATAAATTGCATTTTGGCATATCAGTTGATACAGAAATATTGCCATATTAAAAAAAAAAAAAACACTAGAAAAATGAACGTATTACACAAGTGAAATCTAAATTTTCCTCCCCCACCATTCTTATTAGATGCATCTGATAACCTTCTTCTGTTTCTATTCGTTCCGAATTCCTCTCGACTTTCTAACGCATGCGTTTTTTTCTTTTGTTTGTGCTTAACTATAACAAGCTGCAATTCTATTTCATCACACTCACAGATTTAACCTTTCATTTAGAGATAAGCACGTTTTATAAGCTCACCTGACCAGAAAATCAAAAACAGTATCCTGATATAAATTAAAATATCAAATGACATACATTTGTCCTACATCCCTATTGGTTGGATCAATATCACATGGGGATTGGTTACCTGTGATATTGACACGGTTGTTACTTTTGTTAAGAAACAGCAGGTTAATATGCACTTTTTGCCGTTATTTGCCAAATGCAGTTCTTTGCTTCGTACACTTTTCATACGTTCCATCTTGTTTAATGATTAAAAAAATATTTAGCATCAAATATAACAACTTAATGCTTTCATTTAAGTGAATATGTGGTTATATGGACAATGAGACAGTGATGTTGACCTCGACTTCGTATCGGTTAATATCCCTTTCTTAGGTTCATATAACCATATATTCACCTCATCAAAAGTCCATAACTGATCAATATTTTTGATGTTTGTTGTCTTCAAATCACTGAATGGCCATCAAGAAAATATCTGCAATTCGCTGGAGTTTTGTACATTGTTAAAGACACCAGAAGGCATTCTTGGTGGGAAATTTCGATTTCTAAAGGAATTTTCAGAAATTCTTCTAGGAATATGTAAAGAGGTTCCACGTGAGACTGTGGTCTGTTCCATTGTGTTGTGAAGTCTTCTAAAACATGATGAATCTCATTTGGTACTGGGAGAAATTCCGGATTGGTAATTGATGCCATGTCTTCTTCTAAAATTAGAGATGAAGTATCAGATACATATAGCGTATACAAAAAAAGAGCGTTTTTTCATTTATTTATATATATCTACAAAAGAAGTATATGTTAATACATAAAATAAAACCTCGATATAGTGTCCCTCCTTTCATTTTACTTCTCACACATCGTCAACATACTGTATTTCAATGTCCTTTTTCTCTTTTTCTTAAAAAAAATATATCTTTATATGGTTACCTCGATTTATTGTCAAACCCCCCTATAACGTCAAATCTTCTCTGGATAAATAGTGACAGTATAACGAAGTTTTACTGTATAAGCACAGTACATGTATAAAAGTCAAAATTAATATAAATTGACGGAATACAATGGACAAATTCCTGTTCGGGATAAACCCTATAGTCTCGAAAATAAGCCTTATTTCAAAATAGGCCAGCTCTGAAAATAAGCCTGGAATTCCTTGCAGTCAAATGTACTTTGAAAGTAAGCCGGCTTCGAAATAGGCTTGCCTTGAAGTTTCCGTCTTTCTAAGATGACGGTCTTTGCAAATCAAAGATCTCTTGCAAAAAAATCTTACTACGCAAATAACTCTCAGATTGATTGATTATCGTTGTTTTATCATCCTGAAAAACTGCAGTTATTAACGGAAAGGACTTGATAAAGTATTGATATAACACGTCTGATGAAGCCCTAGAAATAAACAATCAAGTTGTATACATACGTGTCGGCAGGACGTCGTAATAGTAGAGCACCGGATGAAGGAAGTTCGACAGTTCAGCGTATACAGGGTCGGTACTAGCTCTGTCTACTCGGAACACATCTTCCTGGGGCCCGTGATAGTCATGCCCGTACTGTAATACTACGACGAGTACCGAGGAACTCCCAACGGTTACACCCGTCAAATACTCTAAGTTGTGCAGCATTCCAAGAGAAAACTCCTCTAGATACTGAAAGTTCTGTTCCTCGCTGAAATTGTCAATCATAATATGGGTGAATAATATTGAGTATTAACTGTCTTCAAAGTATTAAGTGTAAAAAGTGTCTTGCTTTTAATTATTTACTGAAAACGTGTTCTTGCTTTTAAGTAAGGACTATTATATCGTCTTGCTATTCAGTAAGAAATGTTGATATTGTCTTGCTATTCAGTAATCAGTAATTAGTCTTTGTATTGTCTTGCTTTTAAGTAAGAACTGCTAAAAGTGGCTTGCGATTGAAAAAGAACTGTTTATATTATCTTCTTTTTCAGTAAAAGCTGTTTACATTGTTTTGCTACTTTAAGTAAGATATGTTTATATTTTCTTCTACTTAAGTAAGAACTCTTTATATTCTCTTGGTTTTAATTGACTGTTACTGTTAATATTGTCTTGCTATTAAGTAAGAACTGTTGTTATTGGCTTGCTTAACGAGGATAGATATGATAAATATTGAAAAACTGTATGGTTAGTATATTTCAAAAAGTATAATTACTGTAATTGATAACCATGGAGAAACGTTTCATTGAAAACATTTTTCTATATTCACTTTTTATTGCTAGAAATAAAATACGTCTGGTTGGCCGATGGAAGTGGCTCATATACAGAAATTAACGGAATATATCAATGGAATTATTTCGTATATGATAGCAGATTCAAGATAAAATAATCATATATAATCAGCTTGTCTTTTTTCATATTGCCACTTCAACATTCTGATTGGGTAAGCATAAGTGTGACAAGGTCCGTCAGTGGCACAAGGTCCGTCAGTGGCAAGCTCACGCTTTACTATGACTCTTTTAGCATTTTATTTAAGTCAACATTCAAGCTTATATACGAGATAAACCATGTAAACGTGTGCATATACAGGTATGCTATTTTGAAGATTGTTTTCTGATTCCTCTGCTCGAAATGATCTAAGTAAGACTTTAAAAAACCCAATACCAACCGATTAATAAGTACAATGTCGCCAAGGATACTAAACATCTGGTAGAGCCCGGATGCCTCGTTGACACGCTTGAGTATTGTTGTGGCAAGGTCCGCCAGTGGTAAACGCACACTCGGCCATGACTTATTCTTGTATTTTTGTCTTAGAATGTTGTATAGAGCTCGAGCTAAAACAGACATAAAAGAAATGAAATTTCTATTGAAATGTTTATTCGTATCCGAAACCACTCCGAAATCACGTTTCATACCGAAACACTTATAAAAGTTAGAATATGATATAAATGAAATATAAACGAAATGTAAATTATTTCACATATATTTTTCCTTATGTCATGCAATTCTGTTTGCAAACTTGAAATTAATCCAAGTGTGGTCTCCGATGAAAATCGCGCCATTATAAAGTAGAAAAAAGGTTATCAATGAGAATTATTTTCTTATTTTTTTGCTTACATATTTTTCTCATCTGTAGAATTTCTTGACGATCAATTTCTAAAAGATTCTTTATTTGGAAAAAACCCACTTTCATTTTGATTTGAAATCCTGCCTCAGACTTTTACCTGTGTATCTAAATCCGTGAACAAAGCCACCGGCGGACTTCCGATAGTCCAGTGAGTGAGCAAGGGTCCCAGCAAAGAAAAGCCCACGGATAGCGGATGCTTGGTAGTCAGGTCGTATTCGGGGGTACTTGGCCAGGCGTCCACGTCCCAACGGCACACAAGAGTCGCTGAGCATGCCACGAAAATTAGTATCGTAAAGTTATTTAAACATACAACAGAGTGATACACTTTCTACTAAAATAACGGTATGTAACATGAAACATCACATATTCAGGATGTGCAAAATGTACTTTTACAGTGGAGAATTACTAAATAAATTATTACTTTAAGCAACACAGATTCGATGAAACATCAATGAAGTATATCTTACAATAACAATATATGGGGCAAAGAAGTAATTCCAACAGTGTGGACAAGTTTAGGTTGTCAAATTTTCGGAGCGATCCAAATTTGACAACCCAAACTTGTCCCCACTGTTGGAATTACTTCTTTGCCCCATATATACTATTTTAAGTAATTCGTATCCTACGGGCATACCTCCATTAGGATCCAGTGTTGTATGGGATTTTACCGTCTATATTACTTCTTTGAACCATTACAATAATAATAGATATAATACGCGTTTTTGAAGTAGTGATTTCTTTGGAAGTATAGATATGACAAAACGTCATTCAGGTAATTTATTTCTACAGTATACATGTAAGTATAAGTAGCCACTATTCAGGTATTGCACTTCTATTTTCTAACAATCAAATATATGGTAAAGCGTTATTCATTTCTTTATTTTGATTTATGTTAATATTCGCCACAAAATATATTCTAGGCGTTGCACTTTTACAGTAATTTTTTTATAATATACAATGAGTTAGAACGTCATTTTAATCTGTTATCTTTATAATGTTAAGATGTCCTAAAATTCATTTATTCTACCCCCAACGTTAAAAATAGGAACAGTTTATTTTAAGATATTTATCAATTATAGACTTTTGTTGAGGTGAATCATTAAACTTAAAAAGTGATGATGACCCTGACTAATAGACGCTAAATATATTTTGAATCAATAAAAAAGATAGAAGTATAAATATTGTAATGAGGAAAGTACTTAATTTGGCAGAAAGCATTGTGACATAACAATTGAAATGACGTCATAATATGAATATTGACCTGCTGTTTCTAAAGATGGTTAGACCAATATCACAAAATACTGACCTTCACGTTATTAAAATACACCAAATGAGGATATGGAAAAAAATTGTATCGTCACACATTTCAAGTTATTTACTCACTTGTTGAAAATGGACTTATCAAACGTAAAACCGAGACACCTGATGATCTTGTCGTAGGGGGTGTTCAGGGGATCGTTGTCGTACGGGTGTAACATAGACGTATTACTTCGATCTCGAAGGAACAGCTTGCCTCCCTCCGCCACCACCCGAAACGCCGATACGTTATTGAACTCCATCAGGCCGTCCAGTGACTTGAGCTGGTACGTATCAAGTAAGCCATTGTTTACCGCCCTGTTCACGAAAACCACAAAAAATAACCAAATTACGTGTCGAGTAAGCCATTGTATGCCCTGTTCACGAAAATTACTAAAAATAACCATGGTACGTGTCGAGTAAGACATTGTATGCCCTGTTCACGAAAATTACCAAAAATAACCATGGTACGTGTCGAGTAAGACATTGTATGCCCTGTTCACGAAAATTACTAAAAATAACCATGGTACGTGTCGAGTAAGACATTGTATGCCCTGTTCACGAAAATTACTAAAAATAACCATGGTACGTGTCGAGTAAGACATTGTATGCCCTGTTCACGAAAATTACTAAAAATAACCATGGTACGTGTCGAGTAAGACATTGTATGCCCTGTTCACGAAAATTACTAAAAATAACCATGGTACGTGTCGAGTAAGACATTGTATGCCCTGTTCACGAAAATTACTAAAAATAACCATGGTACGTGTCGAGTAAGACATTGTATGCCCTGTTCACGAAAATTACTAAAAATAACCATGGTACGTGTCGAGTAAGACATTGTATGCCCTGTTCACGAAAATTACTAAAAATAACCATGGTACGTGTCGAGTAAGACATTGTATGCCCTGTTCACGAAAATTACTAAAAATAACCATGGTACGTGTCGAGTAAGACATTGTATGCCCTGTTCACGAAAATTACTAAAAATAACCATGGTACGTGTCGAGTAAGACATTGTATGCCCTGTTCACGAAAATTACTAAAAATAACCATGGTACGTGTCGAGTAAGACATTGTATGCCCTGTTCACGAAAATTACTAAAAATAACCATGGTACGTGTCGAGTAAGACATTGTATGCCCTGTTCACGAAAATTACTAAAAATAACCATGGTACGTGTCGAGTAAGACATTGTATGCCCTGTTCACGAAAATTACTAAAAATAACCATGGTACGTGTCGAGTAAGACATTGTATGCCCTGTTCACGAAAATTACTAAAAATAACCATGGTACGTGTCGAGTAAGACATTGTATGCCCTGTTCACGAAAATTACTAAAAATAACCATGGTACGTGTCGAGTAAGACATTGTATGCCCTGTTCACGAAAATTACTAAAAATAACCATGGTACGTGTCGAGTAAGACATTGTATGCCCTGTTCACGAAAATTACTAAAAATAACCATGGTACGTGTCGAGTAAGACATTGTATGCCCTGTTCACGAAAATTACTAAAAATAACCATGGTACGTGTCGAGTAAGACATTGTATGCCCTGTTCACGAAAATTACTAAAAATAACCATGGTACGTGTCGAGTAAGACATTGTATGCCCTGTTCACGAAAATTACTAAAAATAACCATGGTACGTGTCGAGTAAGACATTGTATGCCCTGTTCACGAAAATTACTAAAAATAACCATGGTACGTGTCGAGTAAGACATTGTATGCCCTGTTCACGAAAATTACTAAAAATNTTTTGACGGTGGACCTCTCGTATCCCCCTTGCGGGCGGGACGCCAAATTAGGTAATAATGAACAAGTCCCCTGTGGATTCATACATTTGTCATCACCAGGTTGCCCCTATAATAATACCATCTGACTTCTAAAACACGCTGTTGATAGAGAATTTGAATCGAAACTTTAATTTTCTTTCCAGTACACAAAAAAAGTCTTTAGGCCATACTTAAAATATGTTTTTTTTTCTTCTTGTTAATAAAACATAAAAACAATCCTCAGAACACGGGAAATCGCTTTTTTTGGGGGGGGGGATCCCCCAAAACCCCTTAAAGGAGGGGGATGACCCCCTCCCGTACCCTCCCCCTCCTCGCGCTACGCGCTCGGGGTGCTGACTATTGAGAAAAATTTCTCGAACCCCCCTTTTAGGAATTCCTGGATCCGCCCCTGATTGTTTTCCAGCATTTTCACCAAAACCACCGAGTTTAATGACTCTATCTACAGTCACTGGCCATAAGTATGGGCGCATTATGGCGACGTCATTAAGTGAATAAAATGTATTCCTATCGTTTTCAGCTGTATCTTTGCCCAAATAACACGTTTTCTTACAAAACCAGTACCGGAACAATTTGTAGGAGGTAGGGAATTGCGTATACACTCAAAAAGAGTTATTCCCCTTCTTATGTGCTTATATTGTCGTCTGCCCGTATATGGCTCAAAAAAGCCGTGAATTAACCCCAGCCGTTAAAGAAGACACTATAAAGCTGTCTAACAGTGGTCTTTCGGCTTGAAAAATTACAGGGTTGTTAGAACTTAAAGCAAGATCCGTACAAAATTTTTTGAAGCGATTCCGTGAAAGGGAAAGTGTCGAAAATTTACCAAGAAGTGGGCGGCCCAGAAAATCGTATTACAGGTCTGATCGTAGTATCATTCGAATTGTTAAAAACAATAAGAGGGTAACTTTAAATTATGTTACAACACTTTGTAATAATGACGCAATAGTTAATTTGTCATCAAGAACTGTTAAAAGAATACTCTTTGTGTTTGGATACCAAAGGAGAGTTGTTTCAAAGAAAATTACTATCGGAGCTGTGAATCAGGAACGGCGGCTTCGTTTTTGTCGGACAAAACTTCATTGGACAGTTGCAAATAATTGGTCAGATCATATTTAGTGATGAAACAAAAATAGAAATCGGGACTGACAGGAAAATGTATGCATGGGGTCGGAACACTAAGATATGTTGATGGAAACATAAACAGTGATAAGTATATTTCCAGTTTAGATGAAAATGTATGCCCTGTTGTCGCGAGACATTTTGCAATTACACCCTTGATTTTACAAGAAGATAATGCCCCGTGTCATGTCTCGAGGAGAGCTAACGAGTGGAAAACTGTAAATAATATTAGAACTTTAATATGGCCATCCCAAAGTCCAGATCTCAATGTGGTTGACATTTTTTGGAAAACAATAAAAACCCGTCTTTCGAAACGTTTGGGAGAGGTTCAAAACAGAGCAGATCTGATCAGAGTTGTGAACGATATATAGTAAAGTTTGCCTTTGTGCTATATTCGGAACCTGTATGATACACTACCAAAGAGATTACTACGTGTAATTAGAGCTAGGGGACAGATAACAAAGTACTGACAATTTCATGTAAGTACCTTCTTTATTTATTGAGATATTCCACTTTTAAATATTTCCTCCCTTATAAAATCTTAGCATAAACAAATATGACGTCGCCGATATGCGCCAATACTTATGGCCAGTGACTGTAAGTCGGGTGATCTACGCCCTACATCAATTTAATAAATTATTTTTATAAGAATCATCAAAATTCATAATGATGGTTGTAATCTGCGCATTGTCTCACAATTTCGTTTCTATTAAATATGCATTGTAATAGATATTCATTTACCATAGAAAAGAATTTGAAGATTTAAATGGTGGAACTGTTTTCACTGATACTGTTATTCTGAGAAACATATACTTGAGTCCTGGGTCTCTATTCATGAAACCGTTCTCATAATCAAGCGTGGATTCTATTCTAAACCCCATTTTCTTATAACTCACTTAAATCATGAAAAACACCAAACTGAATTTTCAAACCATGATAAAAAAGTTTTTTTTGTTTATTCATTTTTCGACATAACAAGATATTTAATTTAACCGTAGAATTTGATGTTGAGTATTAGATCGGTTTTATGTGAACGGGTCTGGGACTCAAATTTTCTGGACATCGTTTTGAAATCCCGCTTGATCTCGTAGTAACGACACTCACCAACATTCTTAAAATTATGATCAAGACTGGCCCGAAGGAAAAACATACAAGAATCATTGTGATATTGTACAAACAGAGTTTCTTTCACGACCACTAGATGTTTTCGCTCACGTCTCATTGGATATTCATCTCACATAAGTAAAAAAAAATCGTAAAAGACAAAGTAAACCTCGCCTTTTTACACAATTTGTAAATTAAATAGCTCGAGTTCGATTAATCAGTATCAACCATCAATCGTTGAGGAGCATCTATTTCTCACCTGATATCGCCGACGTAGTGGGTTTCCCATGCTAATCGAATTCTTCTCCGACCCACCATGTGGATAAAGTTCGTCTTCGAATAGATAGCGTCGGCCGTCTCAAAAGCTGAATTTCCTCGACCTAAAGGAAGACGGATAAACATCAATAAATATCCTTCCAGTACTAGAAATAACACTAACAGACTTAAACTCACAAAAGTTAATTCGACCACCTTTCGGCCATCTTGTTCTTTCGATCAGCCCAAAATATTCAATATGTACATTTAGAAACCGTGGGAAACCTACTTGTGAAATTCTCGTTTCTGAAGTATTAGATTTTTCATAAACGTATGGGGAAAACAAAGGAATTGCATTCTAATGGATTATTGCATACAAATGGTGGAAATATTCAAAGTTATCCAGACAGCATTAAATGTTTTATCAGTTTACACTAAGGCTACAGTTAAACATTATTAGAATATAAAATAGTCTCTATGAAGTTCTGCAACGTAATAAAAGAAAAATTTATTTTCCTCTTTTCATAAAACTATTGATGCTTTCATTGCGAAAATAATACTGTATGCCGGGAAATTTTCGCTACTGGTTAAAAGTTTGCACTTATCATCCCCCATAGTGAAGGCGAATTTATCATGGCGCCGAATATAGTGCACAACATACCGTGTAAAAGGCGAAAAGCAACACTGGACTAATATGGGTGAAAGACGAAAACTTCATTGGGAGAAATGTTCAGGTATACGGTAGCTTCTCTTCAAAATGTGTTCAGTTTTTGCCATATATTAGATGTATTTCAACAATAGCATGTTTAAGTTACTTTTTTACCTAAGATCATGACAGATTTAGCCTCATAGTCCTCCGGGTCTAAGGAGAGATCGTCGTAGCTCTCCGTTAACTCCAATCCGGGCAAGTCAGGAACAAATGGCTTCCATAATCCGGTAGCCACGATGATCACCCTTCAACAAAATTAAAATGAAGAAGAGAAAAGAAAGACAATTAAAACAAATATATAAAGACTTTTAACTGTTTAACTACACTGAATATATCGACATCAGTACTTTCGCCTCTCTTAATGTAATGCAACCAAACAACCAGCAGCATCCCTTATGTTTGTCTAAAAGCTTAGAAGCAGACGATTTGTATTGGATCATCCTTGAGTGCCGCTTTTCGAAACTACTGTCCCACAAGGGACTTCGCAGGGGATGCTGTTTTGATCGACTCTAGAGTCGACAGGCAGAGTAAAATAACCAGAACAGGACAAACTAACTACAATTTAATTTTAAATGCAGAGTTAAAGACGTGTAATGACTTTCCATCGAGCGTTTTATAATTGTCAGTTATATTATAGAAAGACTGACACATGTTGATGCCATTCGATAAGATCTTAACAAGAAACGACACTGGATTTAATAGCTGCAAAACAGCTATCTACATAAATCTAAGATCATTGAGAGATAATCTGTCCTTTTTTCTACTACGTTATTAAAATATTTAATGCATATTATTCCCATAATACTGTCAAAAACTGTAGCAACGCATTGGTATTACCGGTATGGCAATAGTTTGATAAAAAATATTCTGAAAGTTATGTACGGGACTTTTACGAAAAAATAAAAGAGATGAAACATAATCAATATCAGTGTTTTTACTATAAAACTTTCAGCGGTGGTTGACTGGGGTTCGAACACAGGACTTCATATTTTTAAACACGCGCTCGAGTTACTCAGGTAATATTTCCATTATTCGTTGCCTCTCGCGAAAAATCGGTAAGAACCTCCAAAATTAAGTTCCGAATGACTGAAGCTGACGACAACAATGGCGCGTCAACCTGATCACTTTTACTATATTGTGTTATTATCTTATTTAGACACAAGTACATATTTATCGCCCTTGTAAGTACACAAGACTCTTTGTTTCTTCGGAATAAATCATGTCACGAAGGTAATAAATGGACAGTATTATATAAATATACAATAAACTATTCTAAATACATGTGACTGTTTATCTATTACATTAGAAATATGATATATGTTTCATTTGACAGGGGTAACAATTGACCCTTGTTTATTTTATAGGTCAAACAGCATTTCTCTGAAACGTAAAACGCAAATTTCAAATCTCTGTTTAAACCAAAAACATATTTTGAATGATCTATCGAAAGCCCTGCTATAAACATTTTTTTCCCGTCTAATCGTTAAATCACATGCCTTTTATTATTTACATCCATCAAAAGGCATGGGATACCAACTTAATTAAGTCAGTTGTAAACAATACTTATCTGACAAAGAATCAACAAACATCAACGTCTGTAGCATCTTTGTATTATAAAGTCTGACGAAGCTGCAGAAATAAATAGAACAATGAATTCTACACATACCTGCATGTTTTTGTGTTATTGTGTTGGTCGTCCATTAGGAACACCTCGTGTCTGTTGTCATCCGTCATTGAAGCCATTCGGATGTTACTGATCTCTGTGTTGTATTTGATATTGAGGCGGAAATGTTTCGAAAAGTCGTTGAGGTATCTACATTTAAAAAGAAATCATTTGATATTTTCTATTCTGTAGGAGGCAATATGAAATATAGAAAAATATTTCAAAGTTGCAGGTGTTGAATGTTGCAATATATAAGGTGTTTGTGAAAATTACGTAGGTCTACGTTTGGCATTTTTACTTTCACTTGGCCAGTTAACAAAATGACCACATATTGGAAATGTTCGCTCTCTAAATGTATAATGTAAGTGTGTATGTGAAGACGTTTCTGTGGATTACATCGCTTTTCTCTATGTGGACACATCACTGTGTCTTGTGTGGGGACATCATGGCGTCTTGTGTAGACACATCAAAGTGGCTTGTGTGGAAAAATGCCTGCGTCTTGTAAAGACACAGTAATTGTTGCGTTCTTTGTTATATGTATTTTACTTTAAACTGTTCTGTATAATTATCAGTTTCATTTTTCTTATAAATATTAACATTTTGGTATGTAATGATTAAGCCATGTGTGGACATTAATTGCAAACATCCTAGCTGGGCGAGACATTGCCGCCAATTGTATAGATATTCCACTGCGTATTGTACAGTTGACATTTTACTCCGTCTTGTAACAAATTCAAAGCAGTTTTATTTCCGATTCCTTTCATTTACTTCTCACATACTTAGTTACAATCCTGCGTAGCACTTTTGTTGTGCGAAGTGAAACTTTCGTAATTTTGTCCTTAGAACAAATCCCGGTATACGAATTTAGTGACACACCATTATAGCACTTCCACCGTTCTTTATAATAGGGACAAAGGGTAAGCTGTATCAATAAGCCTATACATTTTTACTTCCTAGCTAATCCTCATCATGAATCACAATTAATGTTACATGTATTTGAAAATAATTGACAAAATAAAATGGATTACGAGCCATAACATTGAAACAAACTCGTGGAGAAGCATTCTTTGATGTAAAACGATGTGGGAGAAACTTATCCATATAATCCTTTCAAGCAGCAACTGCATCGCGAAAGGACTTGCTAATAGGAAGTGTTTATGACCCCTGTCGGTGTCAATCATCACGACAGCAATGAACATGCGTTAAGAAGTTACCGTCCCAAAAAGATCAATGTTCAATCATAAATAAACAATACAAAAATAATCCATTCCCCTCATGGCGTACGTGTAAGGCAGGGTTATTTTCTTGATGGGATAAATTTATTTTCATTTTAAGTTCCGAATGGGGACAAAACTGTATCCAAGTGGCGATCTAGGGGGTGCTGTTGAAACTGGTTCCCAAACGTTTTAAGGGTCAAGTGAGTGCTTAATATGGAGCATTACAGTGGATCATGATGACTACAACATAAACAGTTGTGACCAAATTACAATTCCAACATGTTACTTTTTTTTCAATCATTCAACAGTCACTTAGAAAGCATTCACGTAACCATTTCAGGAAGGAAATAAGAATATATCCATATTATTATATTAATCACTTCACTGCATTGTCACTATATAACCGTACTTAGATAAACACATTTACAAGTTTTCAACTGAAAGCTCAAATTTGATGGCTCAGTTTGTTATTTTATGATGATAAAATGTCATATTTGATATAGATATGCTAATATTATCAGTTCACATGATTCGGCATTCGTATTCAATATGAAAACCATGAAGTCTTTCCTGGAATTTGTCGTTTCCAGTTGGTTATTGGCTATGAACGCATGTCAATGTTTAAAAGATTTTGTTATCTTTATATCAAGCAAGTGTCAAGGGAGTGTACATTTCCAACCCCTACTATCGTTTTCTAGACTAACGAGATACGTGTATACAATGTACTAGCACGTGCTAAGAAATAACTATATTTTGAACAAATATCATAAAAAAAGGGTATCGAGAAATGAACCAATTTACATTTATAGAATAGGCACGTGGGAAATAGTATTTTACTGTCTCCGACATTCAACTATTCCCAGAGGCCAATGCCAAGAAAAACAGTCTGTAACTGTTTCATTTTACCAATGCAAATCAAACCTGTAGACTTTTTGTTTGTAAACGTACCTAATTCGCCTAGGGAAATACACCTGGTCGAAAGGAACCCAAAACCAGCTAGAATTGATGTTCTAGTCCTAAAATCACATACCTAACTGTTTTACGAATCGCTCAGCCACATAAAAATAATTTCCAAACCAAACGTACATTCATTGATAAAAACAAATTCAAAATCTCAAGTCCATCTGAAGCCAATTCCTCTTTTGTCTTCAATGACGTCTCAATCGATCAAAAACAAAGAAATTGTGGTGAAGGTCAAATAGTAGCACTCACCTGATTGGCTTGATTGTTTCGATTGTTGCAACAATCTTTTAAAAGCATTTAATGTACAATGAAATAGTCCTTAAACTATGGCACCGGTAAAATGAACTACATCCCCGGGAAATGAACATATATCCGTCGATTTATAATGTATTACCGTATAAAATATTTAGGGACAATTAAGCAATGATGATATTACTTACTTAATCATTGTTTCCTTGTGAGGAAATAAGTCGGATGAGTAATGGCGGAATAGAAGACTCTCTTCGTCACTGAGTAAAGAGTTCCAGTCGTGACGGAGGTTGAACTCTTTGTTACTGCTTCCGGTATTGCGTTTGTTGATGCTGATAAGCCTACCGTGACGTGGATATTTCAGAAAGAAACTCCCTGAAGTGCAAAATACATGTTCTAAAATTTCTTAACAACTTATCATTGACGTGTGTGTTACAATTGATATCAGTTTTCAAATACAACATAATATTACCATCCGTGTATATTACGATATCATTTTTTTCAGATAGTCTATATCTAATATATACAGGATATTTAATGGTTTCCCCTTCAATACCATTTTTTTCAAGAAAGTATGGCAAGATATCGATATTTTTCATGAGTGCGAAGAACGAGTTAAAATATTGATATAATCTGCCATATGAGTGAAATATATCTGTTCCTATTTATAACATTTTGTTAAAAGTCCCATGACGCAAAAAACGCACCATTAAATAGTGTAATACTTGAAGCCTTTTTTTAATGAAGTCGCGCTTGACAACGAGGGAGTACGTGACATTACTTTGACCTACATTTACATGGCGAGTATCGTCGATGAAACAGAAGGCGCTAACCTCCTTGAACATCTGGTCTTATTCTCCTTGTATTTTTTCAATGATCTCCATGAAAGTATTTACTTTATTCATGTTTTGCATAGGTTTTATATTCATTAGTTTGACTTATGGTTGTGTTGACACCTCGCCATTCTCTTGTTGTTCGTTATATAAAGCCTCGCTATTTTGAGCTTGGCCTATATCATGCAACACGTGTCATGACGTCACAATACTAAGACAATTAACTGTATGCTAATGTTGGTATATTGCTGTTGATAACGGCAATGATTGATCGTTTCATCACGTCTGAGAAAGTCGCCATTAAATAAAGTAAAATTAAACCTACCTGATATGTTGGAGCGTTCATATATGACATAGTCCATTCCCGATTTTTGGAAAAAGTACCCAAGTTGTAATCCAGCAGGACCTGCTCCGATGATACAAAATTCTGTTTCGTACCCTCTAGGGTGTCGATCAGTAGCGTCCGAGAGGTTCAGAATGAAGACAATTGTGATGAGACGAATTAAACCCATGTTGATGGTACGGTGTTCTCCTGAAAATGTATCGGATCTTAAAACTGTTAACAGCTGTGTGTCCCGGTTAATCTCTGTAATTAACAAAAGGACCCTGATATACAGTCTAATTGATTGAAGATACACATCTACATAGACATGATAAAACAAATATGTGTAGATTATGAACCACAGATATGTCCCGATGAACGCTTTGTAGTTGATTGTCACACTGTGCCCACGGGTATACTTTTGCATGGTAGAGATAAAAGCATTTTTTTGTAAAATCGTCTGAAAATCGTTGGATCGATACTCTATGGAAAGGGATAATTTTCTTTTTAAAGTATGAAATATAAATATTAACATAAATTAATGAAAATAAAAGTCAAATGATGTCAAGACGACAAAGGGTACGGGAAAGTAGCTACACATATGTATAACAGCAATGATCGGCGGTAATGTATTTTTTCAAACATTATACAAAAATTTACTTTGTTGAAGAAAGGCTTTAAGGCAGAAAGACACATATAATCGATTGTGTATATATACATTTCACTAGCAAAGTACAATAACAAAGTAATGATCTTATAAAAAAACCCGTATCAATCCTTAGGGGATATTCAATATGTAGGTAGAGAAAGTATTGTAGGTATTGGCTTCATAGATCTATAAACTGCTTATTTGCAGTAACTACATGGATGCGTTTGTTTTGAATGTGGATTTTCACATTTTTTAAAGACATTTATTTTGCCCAGTGAGTGCAAGAAAACTATCTGTTGCACCTAACACTATTCAAAATGACTTCATAAGAAGAAATGCTCACACCATTAGAGCGTATGTCTGGGAAAGTTCCTCCAATAAAAAGTATGTTGCTTTTCAATACGATGACTGATATTTCTAGAGGGAGCAACACTCTGCATGCTTTTCCGTTGTCGTCTCTACAAATTACAAGGTTAACTGCTATTTTATTTCCATAACGAACACATGAGAGTAATATAAAACTTGTCGTTTTTAAACATTTGTCGGTGCTGTGTCAACGCCGGTGAAACAAACACGACGGATGCCTTATCGAAACTTGTCATTATTCCAGCAAAGATTATACCATAATTGAAGGCAAATATGATGTCAAGCTCTCCATAGCTTTAAATCAATATACTAAAAGCTGTGTTGCACCCGTACCTGTCATGTCTAAGTAATTACTATTCCAATTTTGAATTTATTTAACTTTCTTAAAAAAAAAGGAATATTTACAAGAGAAAAAAAAAAAAAAAAGTGAAACATTCAATTATTGATTATGTTAATCTTATGTAAGTAGCATTTCGTTTTACTCGTCAAATTATCCTTTGGCTAAATCGGCTAAATGCAGATTTAAACTGTAACATTTGCGACACTAAAATGCTCTAAATGTCTCCTTATCCCTGTCGACTTGGTCTGGCTGCACTAATTACGTAATCAGTGTGTTCTAACGATGCTGACAAGATTAAACCAGAAGCCACGCGTCAGTTAATCTCGTTTCCTAGAACAGTTTAATTCAATGTAACACCCGACCACCTGCACAATTAGCACGATCTTCATTTCCTATAACCTTCGATTTTCTGAAGAATCACCTAGGAACGATTTAACTACTAATCAAATTAACATTGACAAGTTGGTTTGGCTTCTAAGATGAACGTAATACGCACACATGTGTTTGTCCCTTTTTGTGATAGATGCAGTATGCCAGGACTGAAATATACATTGCAGCATGCATGTAGCTGTTTCGTTCCTCTAGAATTCATCGGTAACACTAGGGGACACCAAGTTAGTCTAAATCACTGTTGAAACAGACGGAAAGTGCATAAACCCCTGAATTTGATGAATAATTTCAAACTATTGATAAGTAAAGTGTTAAAATTACTAAGTACCGTGTCACTATTCAAAGAGATGATTATGACCATCAGGTTTGGAGCAAAGATTGGAGACAAAACATTCCACCGGCAGAGTCTCGTTGACGATGCTATTTAGGGATCACAAAAATGGAAATCTGAATTAGAGTTAATAGGAAATTATTGATGAGCAAAGTATGTGCAGATACGATAAAAACCGGAAAGCATAGACTACCGCATTGTTTCTTGAGAGAATATAAGGCACTCACATACGGTTATACCTGTAAAAATTAATACGTCAATGCATTTTTTTGTGTGGTTTTAAAATAATTAACAAAGTCTGATACAATAGCAGGTGAAATACCCATCAAGACTCTCGTTAACTCATTCACTCCTGTAGACAAATTTACACTTTTCAAATTCAAAGGTTTGAAAAGTTCATTATGTTATTATTGTTATCCACTGGTCTAACGGACGAACTGAACCACGAGTTTTGTTTCAAACATTTATAATATGGAATCTAAAAAATGTATTATTTGTTTTCGTTTAAAATTTGTTTGTTATTGTTCGTTTATCATTTCTTGCAATATTTGACATTTTAGAAAATACGATTCTGTCGAGCATTGGAGTGGGATCGATTTTGAGTAAATACGATTAGAAAATTTTGGAAACAAATGAATAAATGTTTGTCTTTCGCTCCGACGTGAGTTTTCATTCCCCGCCATTGTAACAATGCATAGTAGTGATGGTACATCCGGGTGTTTCTTTGTATATCCGCCTTAGCTGGCGTATCCCACACAGACCAGATTAAAATCATACCCTGTCCGTTTATATTTTGTCAGATTCTGAACGTATATAGACGTTTTATAAAGCGAGGTCGGCGTTTATCCCAATGATAGCGGTCGACCTATTTAGTAATTGGAAGTGTGTCGATGTTACGATGGCCGAACACGCAATATAGATGGGGGACCGGGGACAGGGGACAACGTCAATTCCCTAAAGGGGTATTCGCGTTATTTGGTTAGTACGAAAATCACAATAGATGTCTATCGGCAGATTGCATCTGACTTTTTAGGCGCAAAATGGTTACAGTAGCGTGACTTGTCGACACACCTCAGCTCCCCCTCCAGTTTCAGCCTTATGTGTTCAGAGGGAAATCTGATAAGTATCTTTTAGATAATGTATGTATTAAGTTGATAATTTATCAAAAATCATGCCACAATCAAATATTAATTTACAAGAAGGTGAGCATTTGTTTATTTTACTACATATCATTTCCTAAATAGTATGTGTTAACGTGAACCTACTTAATTTACTTTTATTATGATTTGAATATGTCACTACCCAAATTCTCGATGTGAGGACGGGACAATACTTGGATTTGACCTAGATTTACATACCGGGTGTCGTCGATGATGCAGAAGACGCTTACCCTTCCGGAACACTTGGTCGTATTATCCTTGTGCGTTTCAAGAGTCTCCATGTCAATCTTACCTTTGTTATTATTTTCTCGAGCTTTATCGATTTCATGTTCGACTTATGGTTTTGTTGAAACTTTGATATTCTCTTGTGATTTGTAGATGTTGGAGCAAATCAAAAGGATTTAGCGCAGTGTCAATTTCGTTCAATCAAGATTAGAACAACAACATTTTGTCTGATTCTCAAATTTAATAGAACCTTTCATTATATCATGGCTGTCAATTTAATGATGAACGCAAGACACAACCTTGTGCGCGATTGCACCTTTAAATTTGGTAATAGATACAGTATGCTATAAAAAGATGTACAATGTACCAGACAGGTGTTATAGGGCTTCATGTTGGTGATGCTAGGACAGAAAAAGTTGGAAATCAAAAGCTGTTTTAAACTACTGCTGAAGCAAAACATGAGGTTTATATTTGATATTTTTTTTTTTTAATTTACACATGTTTGGGGCCTTCACAACAGCCATGGTCATATGAAGACAGGTGTACACATGTATTATAAACCCTGACACTACTCATAAGAGATTATTTTGAGATTACTTTGAGATTACAAAGTTACGGCAAACCTCGTAGACTTTTAGATATCATTAGTATGATCTAACATAGGGTGTTGAAAGCGATGTATATACCTATTTTCCTGACGGATATATAGATGTACCAGTATCACTTTTAGTTTAGACCAGACCAATAAATGTAAAACATTGATTTTGGTTTATCGTCTTAAGATGTCTAGATATATTGCAGTGGATCTGAACTGATTCGATCGCTCGACAGCAAGCAGATGATATCTCAAAATTTCGACTGTTGACGGACAAACTGACAGCAGAAAGATTTCGAGATATGCTTGCTGATGAAGACTCTGGGAAAGTTTAATAGTCGCCGGTGGTATCTCATTCGAAAATACTAGAATTATTTTTGTCATTGGTCGTTGTCATTCCCCTATCCTTCTTTGACGAAGTGATATTGCTTGGATTTGACCTAGATTTGCATGGCAGTTGTTGGCGATGAAGTAGCAGACGCTAACACTCTCGGACCACCTGGTCTTATTTTTATACCTTTCAAGACTTTTCAAGTGAATCCTCTTTTGTTGATTTTCTTTCATGGTTTCATCGGTTTTAAAATTGCATTACGTTTCTATTCCTTCTTCGGTAATCTCTTACGTTTTTGGGTTGAGCGTCCATTTAGAATTCCGTACTGGCCCGTTGGATTTTCCAGTCGTTTTAAAAGCTAGTTTATGTGATTTGGTTGCATATGTACAACCCTAAGTACACGGTGTTGTTGTTTGCGGTTTAATGTCATATCAACAGCAAAGGTAATTTAAGGACATCTAATTACATGTAATAAGTGTTATCAATAAGGGGATACGAGAACCAATGATGTAAATGACAGCGTCTTAGAGACGACGACGAGGAGAGAGAATTGAATACTTAAGTAAGTGTGGAGGATCAGGATTAAGTCTATTGCCTGTGACCAGATACAGCTCTTGTCTGTAGGTAGAACGTCCATCTAGAGTTAGGATGTTCCAAGCACAAAAGACGGTCGTTGCATGTCGCACCTTCTGGTATGTTATAAGTTAACTATTGCCGGTCATTCATCCAATTCTTCAATATTGATAGCATATGTAGATTGAATGTGATTAGAATTTAGTTGTATTTTAGAATTGTACTTAAAC